AAATCTGAAACATTCTAACATATTGCTTAAATAATAAGCTTTTATATGTCTTTGGTAGGCCAGTTATTGATCAAAATCTTTATTTTATGGGTCTCAAAGCTACCACAGCCACTTTTGTAGCTGCAATGTCGAATGTTCTTCCTGCTATAACTTTTGTCATGGCATGTATTTTAAGGTAAAAAGATAGTATTAACTTGCATGCAAATGAGATATGACTATTTATACATAAGTTTATGCATAAAAAGCCTCGGTATTATGATATTTTCAGAGTTGAGAAGCTAAACCTAAAGAGCATCCGTAGTCAGGCCAAGGTATTAGGGACAGTGACAACTGTTGCAGGTGCCATGGTGATGACACTTATTAAAGGCCCGATTTTAGAGCTTTTTTGGACAAAAGGAAGAACGTATCATGAAGTTGCAACTAGTGGAGTAGATCTTCACAATTCTCTCAAGGGTACTTTTATGATCACTCTTGGATGCGTCAGTTGGTCTGGTTTCATGATTTTGCAAGTAAGAGTCCCTATAAACTATGATAGTGTTAGTGTTTAGTATGACAGAAGAAATGGAATGGTTTAATTCTGTGGAATTAAAAAAAAACTCATTTTGCCTATTTTAATTGTTTCCTTCCATTTTGTAAATTGATTCCGTGTTTTTTCCCTTCAGGAAACGGATTTTAAAAAGTGTAGAATAACCTACATTTATTTATAGAATTTTTGTTCACAAAAATGTTTTTTGAAAGAACTTCATGATTTTAGTTATATTATAGACTTATTTTCTAAAAGTAACTTCTTTATTTGGTTTTTAATGAGTTTTTATTATGTTTATTTTTTTGGTTATGTAAATAACAAGTTCAATAATTATAATTAAAAACAATGTTAAGAATATACATTGCATCTGTGTGAGATTCATTTATTACATGAGTTTACTTAAAAGAAAAAATAAATACAAAGTTCTAAACATTTAAGAAATTTTAATTTATAAGAAAAATGAGAAAAATATTGAATTATTAAAATCAAAATGTTTTTTCTTTTTTAAATTTAAATAAACAATTTAGATAAATAAACATAGGAAACTAACAAGGTTTTTAGTTTAGGGATTTTGAAATTAGAAAAAAAAAGTCCATTAATGAAATAGATATGTATTTATTATTACATTTATTGCAATTATTACATTTAAGTAATATGTGGAATTTAATAAAATGGAAAAATAAAATAAAATGACATGTGGAATAGAAACTAATTTAAAATAACCACAATATGACATGTGGCAAAATTAATGAAAGTGTTACACGAATAGATATTCATTTCATTATATTAGTTTAAACCAATCAAACATGATCATATATAAAATATATATATAATATTTCATTATCTTGCCTATTCTTACGATCATTGTGTTCTTTTCTTCGTTCCATTACATCCAACCAAACATACGCAATAGTAACAATAGCTAGAGGCCTAGGATTATATCTCTAACTTGTCTTGTATACTCATAGTCGATCACCCTAAAGTCTTATCCCTCTGAGATTTCTCTAACTACTTGGATATGCGTAATGGGAACGGTTGAGGGGGGGATATTGGCATTGATAATGGAGAGGGGAAATCCCACAGCCTGGGCAATAAAGTGGGACACCACACTAATGGCAACTGTATACACAGTAAGGATGCCAAAATTAAGGTTTTCATACTTCAACACATTTTAACCATCAGAACAAGCAAATTTGTGTTGTCTGTATATATGTGTGTGTGTGAATCTAAAGCTCTTTGATTGTGTGATCTTGATGCAGGGAATAGTGTGTTCGGGTCTAGCATATTACATCCAAGGACTAGTAATGAGAGTCAAAGGTCCTGTTTTTATGACTGCATTTTATCCATTGTGCATGGTAATTGTAGCTGTGATGGGTTCCATTATTTTAGCTGAGCAAATGTATCTAGGAAGGTATCTTTTTCAGTTCATTAATTTGGTTGGTAGTGTTGACATGAAGTAATGATAAGCTGGCTAATTAATTAACATTTTCACAGGGTTATTGGAGCCATTGTCATAGTTGCAGGGCTTTATCTTGTTGTTTGGGGTCTTAGCAAGGACAATTAGCTTCCATCTGTACCCATTGATGAGAAAATAATAGCACTAGAAGAACAGATGCCGGATAAAGAATGTGAAGAAAGTCTATCAGAAGGTCATAACCGTCTAATAAATCTCATGTTCTAAGAATTCTCATGTGTCTAATAAGTGTGTGTCATGTACGTGGATACCACTGTTGTCAATATCTCACATGGACATTCCATTGTTATCCATATTACCACATGTTTTATTAATGTTATGGAGTCTGAAAAATCCCTTAATCAAAGTTTTTACGTGGTGACGTAGCGTTATTATCGTCACTACTGAAATCTGATCCATTGATTAGGCATCGTAATCTTTATGTTTTGTTGAAGGTACCATGGGTACGCTATTCTATCAGACGAGATATTAATCCCTTAGATTCCTTTATCTAAGGGATTAATATCTCGTCTGATATATTCTAATACCGTGTTGTTAAAAATCAAGATTCTTGTATTATTCTTTCTGAAAATATATATGAACCAATTGTTATAGAATCATTATTCTCCATGCTGAAAATATATACCAATATCTTAGTAGCATCAACGGTTGCAAAAGTCGTTATGGTCGAAGTTGACTGGGGATTAGCCAACTAGTCAGACCTGGATCTCCAAAATTGTAAAACAATTAACTTTAGGTATATCAAAATTGACCAATATCAGTAGGAACCTAATGTTTTTGACACACTATCAAGACAACTTTATCACTACAAGAAATAAAGGCAATAACGGTGATGCCATTAGCGGCGACACGTAACCCGCTAAAAGTGTGCGTCGCCGCTGTAACGCCCGTAGATCCGGGCTAGTCAATTTAGAGACGATAAGCATCAAAAATGACTTTTTGATGGAATATTATTTAGAAGGATTAATCTTAACGAAGTTGTAGTATATGTCTCAAGGTTTCCGGATATATAAAGAATGCCGAAATCCGAGTTATAACGAAGAAGTTATGACCTGTCGAAGTTTCGCGACAAACCGGCACGGTGCCGAATGTCGTAAAAAGTGAGTTTTTGATAAACTACTTTTTAGCCTTAGTGATCTAAATGAAAGTCGTAGTGCTCGTTAAACCGAGAGTATGTATAAAAAGAACGCCCAAATCTGACTTCGTATGAGGAAGTTATGATTTTTCGAAGTTTCAGCTTAGCAGTAGACAACTAAAAACTCGAATTTTAGATCTAGTGATTTTTAGCCGACACGACCTAAACGAGAATCGAAGGTCTCGTCATTTATAGCACAACGGTAAAAAGACAGACGAAAACGGACGTCGGATGAAGAAGTTATGAATTTTTAACGGATTTCCTGTCCCGGTCTGTTAAAATAATAATATAAAAATTAAACTCAAAATTAGCCGACGAAGTCTAAACGAAAGTTGTAGAGCGTAATTTTACCTACGCGTGCATATAAAGAACGTAAAAAACGGAGCTCGTATGCGAAAGTTATGGATTTTAGAAGTTTTGGCGCGAAAACCGAGAAATTTCGCATAGGTGGCTTCGGCCACGTCACCTTCGCTGAATGAGTGCCACGTGTCCGAAATCGGTGAGTCATGCGAGCCACGTGTCCGAAATTGATGAGTCACCTCGCATGAACAGTAGCCACGTGCTCGCTTCTGATTCGACCGAAGGGAGGCCCAACCGAAGCAAGCCGCGTGTCGCCCCTTGTTCCGATCTGCTGACGAGTCCGAAGTGGTCCAATAAGGATCCGACGCGTGTGCCTCGGTGGCGAGCCCTCGCATGCGAGACGTGTCCGACGCGTGTCCTCCTCTGGATCCAACCACGTGTCTGAGCCTCCTGCTGCCTCGTATCCTCGGTGGTGACTCCCTTCTCTCGGCCGACTTCGGATCTCACCCTATAAATAGAAGGGTTGCGAGATCTTTCGGCTACTTTTGGAAAATGGGCATTTTTCACCCCTTTTTCAATATTTTAGCTATTTTGATTTCCCCCGATGCCCCGAGATCATTTCCAACGCCCGGAACACGTCCCGGAGTGCCCGAGAAGCCCGAGAAATTTATTTTTTCGGTTTCGAAGCCCGACCCTCGCAGAGCCCGGTTTCTCAATAAAACTTCCGGTTTTATTAGAAACGATCGTTTTAAGAAACAAATTGCTACCCGATTTTCATCAAAACAAGTGAGTGTATAGTCACTTTCATCTTACACATAAATATGAAGTATTTTATATAAAATATGTGCTATGTGTATATATGTTGTTTGTTTATTTGAGATGGATGTTGAATGAATGTTTTATACATGTTTAAAATGATTTAAAATGTATAAATATTTTATCTTCAAATATGTTGGGTAAAACATTGGTAGATAAAGTAGGAGGGATAAAAGTACAGTATAGATGTACGTTGGTAGCTATGAATTTAGTACCGTATAGATGTACGTTGGTAGCTATGTATTTAGTACGTTGGCAGCTATGGACTTAGTGCCTGTTGTATAAACCTTGGCGACGATGCGACTTTGTGCCTATTAGATAAACCCTGGCGACGATGTGACTTCGTGCCTATTAGATAAACCCTGGCGACTATGAGACGTAGTGCCTATTGTATAAACTCTGGCGACTATGTGACGTAGTGCCTGTTGTATAAACCTTGGCGACGATGTGACTTCGTGCTTATTTGACATAAATTGCGGAGGAAAGCAATGTTGTCACCCTATTGGTTGTCTTATTTGACATAAATTTTTATTTGACATAAATTGCTGAGGGAAAGCAATGTTGTCACCCCGATGTTTGTTTTATTTGACATAAATTGCTGAGGGAAAGCAATGTTGTCACCCCGATGTTTGTTTTATTTGACATAAATTGCTAAGGGAAAGCAATGTTGTCACCCCGATGTTTGTTTTATTTGACATAAATTGCTGAGGGAAAGCAATGTTGTCACCCCGATGTTTGTTTTATTTGACATAAATTGCTGAAGAAAGCAGTGTTGTCACCACATTGGTTGTTTTATTTGACATAAATTGCTGAGGGAAAAGCAATGTTGTCACCCCGATGTTTGCCTTATTTGACATAAATTGCGGAGGAAAGCAATGTTGTCACCCTATTGGCTGTCTTATTTGACATAAATTGCTGAGGAAAGCAATGTTGTCACCTTATTGGTTGTTTTATGTTAGGATGTCTGGTTTGACATAAATTGCTGAGGAAAGCAATGTTGTCACCCCCTTTGGTTGCCTTATTTGACATAAATTGCTGAGGAACCCCCGAAGCAATGTTGTCACCACTAATGAAAATCCTTAGGCTAGGTCCCTTGTGATAATTGTTCTAGGGACGTAAGGTGAGGATAACGGGAATGGGTAATTAGGGTTGTTTTTGGTTGATGAAATTAATAAATTATTTGTTGATTGATAAACTTAAAGAGTTTATTATTTATTGTGGGTTTGAAAACCCTATATGCTCACCAGGCTTCCAAGTCTGACCCACTCAGCTTTTTATATTACAGGTAGTGGACCCCGAGCATAGTCGGATGATGATGATGAGTGATTTTTGGATTATAGGCCAGTAGTTATAAATAACTGTTGTAAGGCTTATAATGTCTTGTTTATGCTTTTGATCTGTATCGGAACATGACATCCCGAGGTTTTGATATAAAAGGAAATTATATATTTCTTAAAGAAAGGTTTTGACAAACTTTTATCATGTTTTGTTTTGGGGACCAATTCCGCAACATCTTTTAAAAAGATTTCTCTGATTTTATTTTAAAAAGCATAAACGAAATCGGTCTTTTCTGACCGAGAAATTAGGAGACATGTATTCTTGAAATGGAGACATGTGAGTTGTAGTTTGCAAGTCGATTGCACATTGACATATGTAAACGCACCAGTAACTTGGTGTTATAAAACATATTGTTGTGTGTGATTTGATGAGTAAGTATAAGCGAGCATTTGAGTCGAAGTTTATCCATTCCTTTTACCCTAAGAGGGATAAAAGCGATATATGTGGGCCCCTCGATGATTTAGTGATGACACCCTAAGCGCTTGGCCAAGCCTGGACTAAGTTGATGTGTTTAATTGTAGTCTGTTGTCAGTCGTCATAAATCAGAAATTGGGAAACAACACATAGACAGAGCGAATGTTTATAATCCATGTCTCATGTCTATACTATATCTAGAATGGAGGAATATATTATCCCTTATCTAAAGGACACGTTACTGATAAGATCAGAGTTGACAGCGGCTTTTGAAAGCTACGATTGCTAATCAGATTCTGAAGTCGTACGCAATAATAGTTATTAGACTTATCCAAGTGGGAGACTGTTGGATTAGGTATCTAAGCCCATAACTATTTTTGGTATGTACTTGATTTGATTATGAGCATGGTCCTTTTGGATTGCCTTCACCATACCAACCGATAGGATAAATTAAGGAGAAAGAGAATTAATTATGATTTATTAATATATTATGTGAATAATATATTAAAAGAGAAATCATATTGTTTAATTAATATTGATCAAGAATTAATTTAGAATTAATTTTGTGGTCAAAAGAGATTAATTAAATCAAGGGGACTAATACTGTAATTATAAGATAGTTACAAAGTTGGGCTTAGGATCCATAAGGATGCAATGGACGAATTCTATATGAGAGTCCATATAGAAATCGTCCAAGAGGGCCTTCTGGAAGGATCCTTTGGGCTGCTTAAGGACTAAGCAACTGGATTAGGGTTTCCAAGTTGAAAACGCTAGTAGCCTAACTATAAAAGGAACCCTCTAGGCCACCAAATTCGTCCCTAACCTTCTAAGAGAGCCCTTGGACGAATTTTGTGCCTCCTCCTCCCTATCCTAAGTCATCTTGTTGCTAGTGGTGTTTGTGACTCCATTAGAGGTGCAACACTTGGGGCACTAAGCTTTCAAGAGTCAAGGACTTTGTGGATTGTGATTGTTATTGCTACATAACAATCAAAGTATTGTTTCTAACCCTAATCATATGTCGATTTCGAATTATATGCTAGGTCATAGGGTTTATTGTTTTGGTATTCAATGTTGTATGTTCAAATTAGAAAAACCTAGATCAAAGCAATTAGGGTTGCATGAACACCATAGGAATGATGTTATGCTCATAACCCATTAACTATAACATATAAACTTTACAAATTACCCTTTATAACACTAATAAATTCCATTTCAATGCAACTTTATCAAATCAAATTTTTTTATTTAAACCAAAAATTCAATCTGTCATGCCTAATCCTAGATCGATCCCCCACCCTACACTTATTACATACAATGCCCTCATTGTATACATATCAATATTTAAAGAAAATAAAAGTTTAAAGGGAGAAAAGGAAAAAACTCTCATTGGGATAGTAGTAACGAGATCGAATGATTGTCGTAGGTTTCTTGTAGATATGAAGCTTGAGTTTTTTAGCTGAACTTGATTAATGTTTGAACTCAGAAAATCATTGCTCATAATATCGAACATTTTGTAGATAAATTTGGGTGGCACTTGCTCTCGAA